CATTATATTCTAAGGATTAACTAGTACTATATATATCTTAATGCTAAATTAAATACTGAAGATAGCTAGGTAACTGAAATATTTTTGATAATGGACTATCCATAATCCATCTTAATTTTACATTAATTAGTAGTGAGCACTAGTAACGACAGTATTTTATCAGAAGTGAGTGAAACAAAACCAACAATAACAGTAAATTAAATAATAGTGAATACTAGTAGCTTCGATATTTTAAAAGGATTATCTTGTAGAATATCCATCTTAATGCTAGATTAAGTATTAACTCAAGCTATTAACTACAATAGATTATAAGGAGTAACTAGTACGCCACCTGCCTTAATGATATATTAAATAATAGTGTGTTTGTTGTTAAGCGCAAAGCTACGTAATAGGCCATCTGTGTTCTTTCAATCGCGGACATCAAAACCAGAAGCCATCAGAGAGAATAAATAACAGTGAACATTAATAACTACGATATTTCCTGAGGATTCATTAGTGTAATATCCATTCTAAATTATCTATATAAACAATTATTTTCGTGAAGTTGTATTATTATTCTGAAATAACAAGTTTGATCACTGTATAGCTGCAACGGTATACCACGAGACCAGTGTGTAACTGCAACGATATACCACGAGACCAGTGTGTAACTGCAACGATATACCCTGGGACCACTGTGTAGCTGCAACGATAAACCATGAGGCTTGATCGTAACTCAGTTTTATTAAACTGAAAACAACAACAAAAATGAACATTATTGAACAGAGTTGTTTAAACATTTGTTTAACAACAAGTAAAAGCTTGGAATGGTCTATTCTTTCATTGAGGGTGTGTCTGTGAGCCAGACTAGTTTCGGAGAATTCCACTCCTCATCAGTGACCCTGAACACTACCACCAATGAAACTTCAGACCAAACCAAGCCTTTATATTAGTGAGGTATCGAAAATCGAAATGGTATATTTAGGTGTTTTACACTCACAAAAAATAAACCTATCATTTGTGAATGTAAAACACCTAAAATACCATTTCGAAAAGAGAACATTCTTATGGAGGACGACACTAGCTTTTTCCCGTCCTTAGCAAGTCACCATACAGTTGACCTTACTTTCTTTTCTTTTCAGTTGTGTAATAAAACCGTGGGATTACGAGCCAAGTTAAATTTATTTATCTACTAAAGCTTGAGAAAGCATTACACTGAAAACTAAAACGTCATTATTATGCAAGTTCAAAACTATACAGTTACCGAACTTTTACCGTTTCTTATTTTCATTAAGGTTAAGCCACTCATTACTTTTTTCATGTCTAATTTTTGTGAAATTTTTCTTCATTAAGAACGATGATGGGCAAAGTTAGCAGAATTGTAGACGCGACAAAGAGGATAGAAAACGACGATACTTATTTGTTATTGCACTTGTGTGTGTGTGTTCCAGCAAACTTTTAGGAATCAATTTAGTCAGACTCTGTGAGGGAACCTGCAATTCTTCACTCAGTTTTGTTGTACTGATATCAGTAGCCTCGCAATCTGATAAACCGACTTGTAGATCCTCACATAACTGAAATTCCTCTTTAACTGATTATATGACTCTTCGACAGTTTTTTTGAAAGAAATTGACTTTGACCTTGAAGTTTGCTGTGAATTAAATAAGAGATTCGCCCAAAATCTGAACATGGAACTTTTTTTTTCGTGACCAAACCTGCTGTTTTTGAGAAAACATTTTCAGTTATTTCAATTTCTTCCGCAAGTTCCATTACATCCACCAATGTTTTTGAAAAAAATTCATCAGTATGGAACTGAAGAACGGAGGAAATCTTTTTTGTTTGTTTGTTGTTGTTTATGTTGTGGAATAGATCGAGACTTGTCAAAATCACTATCTTGCAACTGCTTGTATGCGAGATTGATGACATAAAGTAGGTCGTGTCACACCAGCCCCAAATTTGAAACTTAGCGTCTTGGCAGCAACTGCTTTTACTTCGGAATGTGACTTTATTCCACTGGCTCCTATGAGAGACCACAGCGTTGTATACTTTTCTCAGTTGATATCTAAATGCATAACAAAATCAATTCTACTTTCCCATTGTACTCAATGTCGTCACATATAACTGTTGTATCAAGGATTCCCAAAGATGAGTCCGAGCAGAAAAAGTAGATGAACATGCTTTAAATCTAGTAGAAAAACGTCACCGTTTCAGAGCAACAGTTGGTTACATCAGTCAACACAATATTCAGAGCGTGTACGTTGCATAGTACAAACATATTTTGGATTTAAATCTCTTTTTTAAAGACCACTGTTTTTTCTTTACATGTTGCCTCCATTGTCATATCCTTGCTATCATAAGGAGTAGCGCCATTTCCTCAAATTTACTCAGAAGTACTTTAGTCATACTGACAATGGCTATATATTTCAGCAGCGAAACTCCAAGGAAATTATCTTTTGATACTGACCTCACGATCTTTAGCCAAAGATGCCTCAATAGCTGTGACAAATTAAGAGATCGTTGTCTTCTCTTCTGTATGGACTGTTTTGCGTAAGTCGACACAAATGAGTAATATCTGATATTTAAAGTTGCAGTTAACATAAGAGTCTGAATCCTGGTAACTAGCAATTGAACCAGTTCATTCTCGTTGTCTTTTCCCAGATAGTGCTTATAAATTTATTGTAGTTATTCTTTTAAGACTTTTTTTTACGATAGGATCAAACATGGTCAAATATTTAAAAAAATATTAGAAAATTTAGACACTTTCCTAATGAGAAATATTTTGAGTTACCAAAGCATACATCTTTCAGTTACAAGGAGCTAATGCTCCGTTACTTGTTTAATCAGAAGCGGGGTTTCAAATTTGATTATTTGTTTCATTTTCAGTTAAGATTCTAACCCATTCCATTCTTGAAATGTCTTCAGATGACCTGATGGCTTTTCATGTCAATCTAGAAGTGATGACAAACTTCTCGTTGATTTATTCCATTTGACGACAATAAAAATATTAACTTTGTCTAATACTTTGCAACAAAAACAGAACAGTGAATAAAGAATGAAACAATTTTGAACTTGTTGTATTGTAATTCTTCATCGACATGTTATCATGTATGATAAAGTTTTGTGGGGTTTTTCTTTCTTGTTGTCTTTGGGACAATCAGATTTCTGCAGCTATACTGGATCGATTTCAAACAACAACTGTCGCACCAGTACGTCACTGTTTGGTCATTTAACTGGATCAACCAAATCATATACACATTTCTTTTCACATTCTGCCTACTTTTCATCTTTAGAGTTGTTTTTATGACCCGTAGATAGAGGGTGGAAGTTGGGGATAACCACCCGACATTCTTCCATCCTGACAAAAAAAGGGGAAAAATAGAGAGAAAAAATAATTTTTTACAGCATGGTGCATTTATATTATATACATATTTTAAGTATTATATGTTACTATGTTATTATTTTGTATTTTGAAGCAATTTTGTAAGCTAATGATGGGAAATTTGGTCCTAAAACGGGAAAATGAAGTCCCACCAAAGAAAATTTAACATTACTTAATTTAACGTCGTGTGAGTCATCTGTTGGGCGGAGGCTAAACTATGTGGACTTTGGGGTTTGGCAAGAAAGCGCTTCGAACGCTCGTGTTAAACTCTCGTTATATGGATCATTTTAATACTGAAATATACCGAAATACACTAAAGTACACCAAAATACTGCCCAAATTTACCGGTATATGGGCTCGTGCATTTTGCACGTTTTTGTAACTGCCATGTAACTGTGAAACTCTACACACTAAAATACTGAATGTACCTAACGTATCTTCATGGTAGCGCAGATGGCCCTCGTGTAGCTTTGCGCGAAATTAAAAAACAATAAGTATCTTCACGAAATTTGGTAAACTGTTAGTAAACATTACATACATGTTGTGC